GGAACTTGAAGTAGTCTTGGGAATCCACTTGACTAAGGTCTTAGGAGCTTCTTCAAATGCATCAATTTCCTCTTGAAGCTTGTCCTTGCCTTTTTGCTTGTAGTCTTGTGGTGAAATATCATCTTGAGCTTGTGTCCCCTTGAAAGAAGTATCATACTTCTCTTGTTGAGGAACAAACTTTGTCTTGGGGTATTGGTCTTCTTCCCACTCAACTCCATTGGCATTGAACTTTCGTTCAAAACCAACACCTTGTTTCTTCCGGTGCATTCCTTGCTTGCGCACAATTTCCTTGAATTGCTTACTCCCGGCAAGGCTTTTGTACACTCCTTTCTCTATAATTCCCTTCAATAAGCTATTTTCTTGCTCAAGTGTAACTTGGCTAAGAGAATCATTAGTGGAATCAAGAGAACTACTAGAAGCAACAATATTGGATTTAGCATGATCATTGTTCCTGCTAGAGGAAGAATCTTTCTTGTTCTTGTTACTAGACTTGACTTGAGGCATGTAAGTGGACAAGAGTAAACGCTTGGCAATGTAAGAAGAACTTTTCTTGCGGAGATCATCATTGATTGCTTTTAAGAACTCATGCTCTTGCTCAAGATTGAGCTTTTCAAAGCGTAATTTCTCATGAGCTCTTAAAAGTTCTCGATGATATTCGAAGATAGTTTCATGAGCTAACTTAAGAGTGTTTAGTTCTTTAGTTAGAGCCTCAATCTTCTCCTTATTATTGTCATTCGTTTTATCTTGATTAGCATGATTAATTGACGTTTCATCATAGTATTCATCACTAGAGTTGTCAACAAGCAAATCATCACCTAACAAGTCATCTTCATCACTATTGAAATCAACATACTCGGGGTGTGTTACCTTAGGACCTTTGGCCATGAAGCATCTTCCAATTCCTTCATTTGGTGAGTCAAATATGTCGTAGGAGTTGGTTGACACAAGTGCTAGACCGGCAACACCTTCATCTTGAGTATCTTCGGAGTCGGAGTGATAACTTCTCTCGGAGTGGCTGTCGGAGTCGGAGCCGGATACCCATTCACCAACATGAGCTTGATGTCTTCGTTTTGTGTAGCTCCTTGATGATTTTTCCTTCCTTTCTGAATCCTTGCTTCTCCGTGAGTATCTTCGTTCATAACGATCATCTCTACTCCTTCTCTCTCTTGGTGGTGATTCTTTGCTTCTTCTTTTTGGAGAATCTTCTCTTCTCTTGTAGGGAGCCGTACACTCATTGGAATAGTGTCCGGGTCTTCCACAACTGTAGCAGTTTCGCTCTCGACTAGAAGATCTTTTGTCATTGTAGGACCTTGACTTGAAGCTTCTATCTTTGCTTCTACTCTTGTAGAACTTGTTGAAGTTCTTCACCATTAAGCTCAATTCTTCATTGAAGTTTTGTTTCTCACTTGATGATGTAGGGGCTTCACATGAGGCTTTGTAGGCACCACTTGATTTATTGTGAAGTTCCTCTTTATCCTTAAGTGACATCTCATGAGCAACAATTCTTCCAATTACCTCCGTTGGCTTGAGATCTTTGTAATTGGGCATCATTTGGATCAATGTGCACACGGTATCATATTTTCCATCCAAGGCTCTTAGAATCTTCTTGATGATGAATCTATCGGTCATCTCTTCACTTCCTAAGCCGGCAATCTCATTTGTGATGAGAGCAAGCCTGGAGTACATTTCAGCGACACCTTCACCATCCTTCATTTTGAACTTGTCAAGTTGACTTTGAAGCACATCCAACTTGGATTCCTTGACGGAGTCGGTACCTTCGTGCATATCAATCAAAGTGTCCCAAATTTCCTTTGCATTCTCAAGACGACTGATTTTGTTGAATTCTTCGGGGCACAATCCGTTGAAGAGAATATCACAAGCTTGAGCATTGTATTGCAACATCTTCAACTCATCCGCGGTAGCTTCATGGTTTGGTTCTTTCCCATCAAAGAAGTCACCTTGCAAACCAACACACACAATAGCCCAAACGGCGGGGTTATGTCCAAGAATATGCATTTTCATTTTATGCTTCCAACTAGCAAAATTAGTACCATCAAAGTAAGGACCTCTACGGTGATAATTTCCCTCGCTAGACGCCATACTCTCTTAGGTTGTGAAACCAAGGCTATGACCACCAAAAGCTATGGAGATCAAAGCAAATGGAAACCTGGCTCTGATACCACTTGTAGGATCGAAAGTATGTCTAGAGGGGGGGTGATTAGACTACTTGACCAAATAAAAACTTAACCTTTTCCCAATTTTAGTTCTTGGCAGATTTTAGCTATTGTAGGACAAGTCAAGCAATCATCACACAATTCAAGCAAGCATGCAAAGAGTATATTGGCAGCGGAAAGTAAAGCATGCAACTTGCAAGAATGTAAAGGGAAGGGTTTGAAGAATTCAAACGCAATTGGAGACACAGATATTTTCCCGTGGTTCGGATAGGTGGTGCTATCCTACATCCACGTTGATGGAGACTTCAACCCACGAAGGGTAACGGTTGCGCGAGTCCACGGAGGGCTCCACCCACGAAGGGTAATGGTTGCGCGAGTCCACGGAGGGCTCCACCCACGAAGGGTAATGGTTGCGCGAGTCCACGGAGGGCTCCACCCACGAAGGGTCCACGAAGAAGCAACCACCCACGAAGGGTTCACGAAGAAGCAACCACCCACGAAGGGTCCACGAAGAAGTAACCTTGTCTATCCCACCATGGCCATCGCCCACGAAGGACTTGCCTCACTAGCGGTAGATCTTCACGAAGTAGGCGATCTCCTTGCCCTTACAAACTCCTTGGTTCAACTCCACAATCTTGTCGGAGGCTCCCAAGTGACATCTAGCCAATCTAGGAGACACCACTCTCCAAGAAGTAACAAATGGTGTGTTGATGATGAACTCCTTGCTCTTGTGCTTCAAATGATAGTCTCCCCAACACTCAACTCTCTCTCATAGGATTTGGATTTTGTGGAAAAAAGATTTGAGTGGAAAGCAACTTGGGGAAGGCTAGAGATCAAGATTCATATGGTAGGAATGGAATATCTTGGTCTCAACACATGAGTAGGTGGTTCTCTCTCAGAACATATGGAATTGTGTATGTGTTCTGATGGCTCTCTCCACGAATGAAGAGAAGGTGGAGGGGTATATATAGCCTCCACACAAAATCCAACCGTTACACACAGTTTTCCAATCTCGGTGGGACCGAATCAACAAACTCGGTCGGACCGAAAAGGTAAACCTAGTGACCGTTAGAGATTTTCGGTGGGACTGACATGCAACTCGGTAGGACCGACATGGTTAGGGTTTGGGCATAACGTAATCTCGGTGAGACCGATTACACAAACTCGGTGAGACCGGGTTTGATAATAAGCTAACCAGAGAGTTGGTCAGGCAAACTCGGTGGGACCGATTTGCTCTTTCGGTGAGACCGAAAAGTTACAAAAAGGAAACAAAGAGTTTACATTGCAAACTCGGTGGGACCGATTCGCTCTTTCGGTGAGACCGAAAAGTTACGAAAGGGAAACATAGAGTTTGCAATCCCATCTCGGTGAGACCGAAATCCCTATCGGTAGAACCGAATTGCTAGGGTTTGGCAGTGGCTTATGACAAGTGAAACTCGGTGGCGCCGGATAGAAAGAATCGGTAGGACCGAGTTTGGCTTAGGGTTTAGGTCATATGTGGATATGGGAAAGTAGTTGAGGGTTTTGGAGCATATCACTAAGCACATGAAGCAAAAGGCTCATTAAGCAACACCTCATCCCTCCTTGATAGTATTGGCTTTTCCTAAAGACTCAATGTGATCTTGGATCACTAAAATATAAAATGAAGAGTCTTGAGCTTTTGCGCTTGAGCCAATCCTTTGTCCTTAGCATTTTGAGGGTTCCACTTTCACATCCATGCCATGCCAATCATTGAGCTTTCCTGAAATAGTCATCTTGGAATAGCATTAGCTCAATGAGCTATATGTTGTTATGAATTACCAAAACCACCTAGGGATAGTTGCACTTTCAGCTCCGCGCGACTATTGACTTCTTCGTCACGGAAGGCCCGGACTCCAACGACTACTTATCCGACGACGACTTTTTCCCCGACATCGACAACCTCCTCGACGACATGGCTGGCGAGGACACTAACCCCAAGACCAGTACTTCCGCTGTTGTACCATACATGTTCATACTTTTTCTGTTTGAGATTCTGCCACAGTTTCTTGCTTTAGTGTATGCTCTAGATATATTTGGTTCTAGTTCATATTTGCAGATACTATTTACTTTCTCTCTGTCAGATTGCATGCCTTGCTTGATCTCTGCTATTTTAGCCATGCTTTATCTAGTATTTCTGTTAATAAAATTATGATACATTGCTCATATTTAAAAAAACATGTCAACACACGAATACAAAATTGTGTTGGATGGTAAAACATGTCCGGATCACGGGGACATAATGGGGCGGTTTGATGGTGGATGCATCCGGTGTGGCCAGCGGCCGTGACTGGGCACGCAGCGTTTTTCCGTTCCTCCGCCCACATGAAGATGAAGGAAGACCCCCGAACCAGACCGCCTCCCCCCTGCAAGAGGAGAGACCCCTTCCGCCACGGCTTGATTGCCGGTGGCTTTCCTTTCTTCCTTCCCCTGCGCAGCTGCTCACACACGCAGATGCTGCTCTTCCTTCCGTCCCCGGACACGCAGGCAAGGCAAAGGCACCCACCACCAAATAGGAAGGGGAGTTACTCCACCACCACCAGCAGCCTAGCCTAGCCTAGCACAGCACAGCACAGCACAGCAGTGGGAGGGGGAGGCACCAGGGCAGGGCAGGTCCGGAGATGGATGGAGACTTGTTGCAGCGCAGCCCACTGCAAAGCTCCAAATTACAACACGGAGCCCAACCACCACTTATACGCCACCGCCACCACCACCAGCATCGCCACCACTTTCCCCTCCCCGATCTCCTCCCCAAACCCTAACCCCCTCCCCTCGGATCCGCGCATGGAGGCGTGACGGGCCGGGGGGATGGACGCCGTGCCGGAGGACCTCCGCTGCAAGCGCTCCGACGGCAAGCAGTGGCGCTGCAGCGCCCCTTCCATGCCCGACAAGACCGTCTGCGAGAAGCACTACGTCCAGGCCAAGAAGCGCGCCGCCTCCTCCGCGCTACGCGCTACGCTCCGCAGGTCCTCCCCCTCCTACGCCGCCGCCTCCTACGCGCCGCCCCGTGAGGGCGACGCCGACGCTGACCTGCCCCTGCCAATGGCTGTCGCGAGGCCCTTCTACGGCAGTGTCGTCGGGGAGCCTGTCTACGTGGCGGAGCCGGCGGTGCGGAGGGGGCTGCCCCTCATCAATGCTATCGGCTCGCGCACCGCAGCGGTCAGTTGGTTTTACCTCTTTGTGTGTGTCTCTGTGTGTGTGTGGCTCGCGCTGCTTTGGGGTGCTGATGTTGGTGATACATGTCGATGACGGCAGGAGCTAGTCGGGAGAGCCTCTGTAGGGCTGCAAGGCTGTGCCGAGGTGAAGACGAGTTGCCACCAATGCCGGAGGAGTGTCAGTGCCGTTTGGTGTACCAGCTGTGACAGGAGGGGGTATTGCGGCGGCTGCATCTCCAGATGGTATATTGCGATATGGATTATACTGTTCTACACTTATTATTAAGAGTGTCAATCTTGATTCAAGAATAATTCCATCCTAGAGGAAGGCACTTGTCCATAGGAACTGCCAAATCATAGGAACTACTCTAGGGCATTCCTGTTGGAACATGTTGCTGAAGCACATAGAGATGTTCCTGGTTAGTGTCTTGTCTTGGTAATTTCAGAAGCATAGCCTCTGCCGTGGCCTTTTAAAGGAAAAATTAATCATTATCTTGGTTCATAACAATAAAAAGTTAATGTTCCACAACCAATGTGATTTTTTTCCTGACGGTCCCTTCTCAAGAACAAGTTCAATATGGCCTAATTGAAAAGAGAATCAGATCTGATCTCACCCAATTACATTTATACAAAATATCAAGTACAAACACACCTTCTTGGTACACTACCAATTTGATGGAGAGACACCTTCAAAGAACTGGGATGGCGATCAATGCTGACGGCAATGGTGTGGGTAACACAATTTATGAACTCCACAATCAGTGTATGAGAAACAGTCAGTGCGTGAAGTGGAGCATGCAATGGCTGTGCACGTTGGAAAAAGTTGCTAAGGACTAAGAGGATCAGTTGCAACGGTTGCGGGATGAATAGGTGTTCAGGGTGACAGACTAACAGCTAATGTTTCATGCTCTTTGAGCTGGCTAAACAGGAAGAATATTTTCTTGCTTAGAGTTTAATGGTCCTGTGTTGGGTCTTAACAATAACATGCACTACCTCCGTCCATGTTTACTAGTCCCCCTCATATTTTGGGTCACAGTAGAAATAGTTCTGTCGAGCCACTGACTTCTGATCAGTAACATCTTGTTTTTATTTAGAGTGATCATATGAAAATGAGAGTGCACTTGACTTGAAAAATATTTTCATGATGTTGAGTTCATTAGGATCTCAAAAATATATTGCTCAAGATCAATTTTAGTTTCACCGTGGGGACTGTTGCATTGTCAAGGAAACACCTTATTTTTGTGGCTATTGGTTATGCTTGGTTAGCATGTTAGAAATTTGCGTATGTTGTCACCTTACACTGTACGGTGTGCATACTTGGCGATTTCGGCTTTATAGATTTGATTACAGACTCATTATTGCTTTTCCTTACTAATAGAATATGTAATGTAGGTACTCTGACATTGCAATAGATGATATTCAAAAGGTTTGTCCAGCATGCCGTGGCATTTGTAACTGCAAAGTTTGCTTACAAGGAGACAACGTAATTAAGGTATGTAGGGCATGTTTGGTTGATGGCAGGGTATCTGAGAAATTCTTACGGTTGCTTTTACAAAAGTGCCCTCTTGATGCTAAACCATAGCTCTAACTGAGTCAAATTCCACAATTTGCACAGCTTGCAACACCAAGTTAGCCAACTTTGACTTTCTTAGCCTAGTGTTTGTTTCTTTGCCAAACTTGTAACATGTTCCACTATTTGATCACTATGCCCCACATGCAGTTGACACATCTTTTTGTCATACATTGCCTAAGCTGTGGCATGCCACAAGTTGTTTAACTTAGGTGTTTCAACATCTGGCATCCAACCAAATATGCCTGTTGGGAGTTTTCTTCCTTTTCTCTTTCCATGTATTTGATTTCCATCCTCTACTGAGTTTTCTTATGTAACACTTCTTTTGTTCTTTTAAGGCAAGGGTGCAGGAGATATCTGTTGTAGATAAGTTGAAATATCTTCATAGCATTTTGGCATATGTTCTTCCAGTGCTAAAGCAGATTTACTCCGACCAATGCTTTGAAATAGGTGTTGAAACAAGAGCTTATGGTACCTTATTTTCCCTCTTACCCTCCTTTGTGTAATAACTCTGCATGTTTCAAACAGCACCATAACATATTATATGCAATAGGGCCCAAGATGGACATCATTAGGGCAAAGATGAATTCTGATGAGCAAATGTGCTGGTACTGCTTTTGCATTCTTCTATCTGTTGCTTTTATCATTGGGATTTTATTATTCCTGCAATATAATTTAAAGCTATAGTGTAATACCTTATAAGTTACCTTTCTGCAGTGACTTTTGCAAAGTGCCAGTGTTTGATTATCATCGACACTGTCCAAGATGTTTGTATGACTTATGCCTTGACTGTTGTCGAGATATTAGGCGCTCTCAGACAAATGTAGTCAGAGGAGAATATGCTGAAAGTAAAGGTCCTGTGGTGGAGACAAATAAAGATAGTGCGAGTGACAGAGCAAGATTGGAACCATCTGCAGCAAGTGTCAACGATAAGTTGTTCCCAGAGCCGATAGATGCAAATGATATTGGCATCAGATCTTTGTTTCCTACATGGAGAGCCAACAATGATGGCAGCATCACTTGTGGGCCTCATGAGGCTGGTGGTTGTGGCTCCTCAAAGCTGGTATTAAGGCGAATATTCAAAATAAACTGGATTGGTAAGCTTGTAAAGAGTTCTCAAGAAATGGTTAATGGTTGCAAAGCACATGATCTTGAGAATGGATGCTCATCCTGTCACGATAGCAGAAGATTGGACTCAATTGGTCGCCATAACTTTGGTCTCTCAAAATGTTCAGATAGTGATGGTATTGATGGGAACTCTGTGTACTCTTCTGTACTGGAGAACTTAAAATACGAGGGTATTGTCCATTTCCGTAAACACTGGATAAATGGGGAGCCTGTAATTATTAGGAATGCATTTGAGCCTTCTTTATCATCAAGTTGGGACCCGTTAAGCATTTGGCGAGGAATCCAGGAGATCATGGATGAAAAAATGGATGAAAATGCGATAGTTAAAGCTGTGGACTGCTCAAACCAATCAGAGGTAAAACGGGAGTATTAGTTACTAGTTTATCTATCTAACTAACAGTTGTTCACTTTCTATTTGAAATGATCTTATCACTGTGACGTCTGTTTATAGACTCTGAAGTGGCATGCTATTACTTATAATATTACTGTTGCTAGTCGGCTTTGACTGTAAGAAGCATAACTTTCGCCCCAAGAGAGATGTAGGTGATGAAAATTACTTCTGTTTGTACGAGGATTTCTCAAACATCATTACCCCATCCTATAATCATGACTGAAGAAGTGAAAAAGAAAGATAGTAGAAAACTAAACACTTTTTGTGTACTATGGCTATCCTAAAATCTACATGCTGCTTTACAAAAAAAAAATCAGGTGCATATCAAGCTCAACCAATTTATCAAAGGTTATTCAGATGGTCACAAGGGAGAAGATGGCAAGTTAATTATGCTGAAACTGAAAGATTGGCCTCCAGTGAGCGTATTAGAGGAGTTTCTGTTATGCCAGCGACCAGAGTTCATTGTCAATTTTCCCTTAGTAGACTTTATCCATTCTAAGTGGGGCTTTCTTAACCTTGCGGCTAAGTTACCCCCAGATGCCCTACAGTCTGAAGTAGGCCTAAAGCTGCTTATTGCATATGGAAGGCAGCAACAACCTGGTAAAAGCGATTCAGTGACAAATCTGATGGTTAAGATGGGTGATGTGGTAAGTTGCCCTTTTGCTATATTTACACTTCAAAATTCTTTTTGTTTTACTGAAGTCAAACATCCGTTTACTAGAGAATGCTGGTTGATGTTGCAACTTACCTTTTGATCTGTTTCTCGGCAATTTAATAAATTAATGAAATACAATAAATACACCACATGGCTAATGCTATGTTTTTCTGTATATAGGTACACATGTTAATGCATAGAGCTGAAATGCGTTACCTATGTCCAAAGAGTCTACAACCTGAGCAGCCGGAAAGGATTGCCAATGGGATGGCAGTGCATGTAAATGCTCATGCACCTGTGCAAAACTTGAATCTGGATATGGGGGAACAATCACCTGAACACACAGTTTCTAAGTCTTGCGGCCCTTCTGCAGGCTCTTCTGCTGAGCTATCAAGTTCATCACATTCAGAGCAAGCAAAAACTAATGGTGTAGAAAGATCTCAGCCTGGTGCTCTTTGGGATGTCTTCCGCAGGCAGGATGTGCCGATGCTGAATAAATATTTAGCTTCTAACTGGGAGGAACTTACAAATAACAGTCAGGCGATGCTCTCTGTAATTACTTCTCACTACTCTATGCCAAATTTGGCTGAACCACTTTTGTCAAATATGTTTATGTTGAGAATACTATTTCTTTGGTTTCAGGTGAAGCATCCTATTTATGATCAAGCTGTATATCTCAGGGAGCACCATAAAAGGGTATTAAAGGATCAATATGGTAAGTACACCAAATAAAGATTATCGCTTTGAAGTTGGTAGATGCAATAGTTACCGACTTCCTTTCACTGATGCACAATAGCAGCTTGTTTCATTTACTTTGCCAACTTCTCAGACTTGGGCAATCCATAATACTACTTTATTGCAATACCACATCAAGCAGATGATGTGCCATCTACTCCCTCTGTCCCATAATGTAAGACGTTTTTTTACACTAGTGCATTATGGGACGGAGGGCGTAAATTCCTACCGAATCAATAAATGTAACTATACCAATTCTTTGCTCGAAAGAGAGCAACCAAATGTCTGCTTGCTAGGTCTTGTTTACCAGGAAATCCCAACCTGATACTTCTATCTACATCCTTTTTGGTGTGGAATATGATTTTTCGCCACTACTTGACTTTGATGATTTGCCACTGGTTACTTTGCAAATGATATTTTGCCACTTCTTAGTTGGGACTTTGAGGATTTGCCCTTTTACAGTCAAAAACAATAGTAGTTACGAGTGTTTTAGATAATATATGCGCAAAACAGTGGACAACAATACCCTTGTGCCTGTTTGACTGAAGAGGCAGAAAAATAAGTAGAAATCCCCAATGTCCCAGCTCTTCCGCCTCTCAAGTTCTCTCTGCCGGCGCCAATGAAGATGAACTTGTAGAGGAGGTCCCATGGTAGGTCCTGGGTGGGCGTGAACTAGCCACGGCCGGCACTGTGGAGACGAGCGATAGGTGGCCCTCGTAGAGGAAGCCCGAGGGCCTGCACGGTGACAGCGGCGTCCCTGAACCGTGTGTAGCCAAGCGCGCCGCAGCGGCTGGGGAGCTGGAACGGCGCGGCGAATGCTTCAGCAGCCCTGCCAGTCACCGCCGCTGCTGATGCCCTGCCTGCCCTGTGCTGCTCTTGCTCGCCGCCGCGGCCACCTACTGGTTCTACAACAGGTACTGCTGGTTGCTGCTGCTGCACGTAGTGCTGCTGCTGCTGCTCGCACCTCTTGGCTCCACAGTGGTCAGCCGGGTATACTCTTGTGTTCTGAACGACAGCTGATGCAACACATAGTCCTTTCGCTTGGAGAGCAGGATAAATCACTGATGTGTATTAGCGTCACAAAATCCTGTGTTTGCTTCCATGGAAGAATCGATCAGCTGCTTGCATGCTTGCCATGCTGCCATGGAATAATCAATCTAGCACTTCTTCTGTGGATTGCTCACCGGCGACGGATAGAGCCAGAGGCATCATATCTTGGTCTGACGGGGGGACTGTGATGCTGAGATGTGGACCTGGCTCCTGGTCGTGTTGGCCAGCGTGACCATGGCCGCCAACTCTGGATCCGCTCCCCGTGGCAAGTCACAAGAGAGATGGGGAATGAACAAACAGGAAGAGCTTGTCTGTTGGCTTGGTCGATCGAGGACATGGGCAATTTGGGGATTTCATGCGGGCCCCACCTGTAAGAGGCAAATCCTCGAAGTCCCAAGTAAAAAGTGCAAAATATCAATTGCAAAGTAGGCAGAGGCAAATTGTCGAAGGCCCAAGTAAGCAGTGGCAAGAGATCACATCCCCCCCTTTTGGCGAATTGTCGAAGTCCCACGTAAGCAGTGTGCTAGTAATATCTCATATGAGGCAGACTAATGATTTAGCTGCATCTTATTTGTATATTTTTAATTTGCGTTATGTCACCTGTATTTGTACGTTCTTACAGGAATTGAACCTCGGACATTTGAACAACATATTGGCGAGGCTGTTTTTATTCCAGCTGGCTGTCCTTACCAAGTAAAAAATCTCCAGGTATGCTTCTAGTGATTTTGTGCCATCACAGATTGCTATACTGAACCTTACTGCTTTGGATGATCTACTCTTTGAAATGGTTCATCGTATGCAAATATAGTTACATCGTCTTCTGTTAAAATATGGTTCAGTCTACGGTTCAGTTGGCTCTGGATTTTTTGTCGCCTGAGAGTTTGCGGGAGTCGGCTCGTATGGCCCAAGAGATACGCTGCCTGCCAAATCATCATGATGCAAAACTGAAGATGCTTGAGGTACCTCAGAACTGAGCTGGTCACCGAGCAGTTGCTTTATGCCTATGTCACTTACCGTTCGGAACAAAAAGGAACCTTACGAGTTTTGTCATCAAACATGCAGGTTGGAAAAATAGCTTTATATGCAGCAAGTTCCGCTGTCAAAGAAATTCAGAAAATAACCCTTGATCCCAAGTAGGTGCACTTAACTTGTCTCCTTGAGCGTAGAACTGTAGAGATCTTCACCTCTTCTTTTTTCATACGCCTTTAGTTGATCTATGCTGCTTATAAACCCAGTATCTGTGCCTTTCTCAGGTTTAATCTGGATATCAGATTTGAGGATCAGAACCTAACCCGGGCAGTTTCAGAGAACTTGGCTAGAGTCACTAAACAACGAAAGGTGTCTTGTGGTTGACATTCTGCAAGTCCTCAGGAGATGCGGGATGTAAAATTGAAATTGAAATCCATGTGAAGTAGATATAGCAAATTGTACATGTAGTATACCATGTCCCGAAAGAAACACATTCACAACTCTTGTCAGATAGTATTGACTTCACCTGTATATTGTGGGTTAGGAGTAACGGCTGTGCTCATGTCAACAAAAATAATGTGTTGAGCAATTAATGAACATTACTATGAGAGTATGATTGATAACTACTCTTCCGCCATTTTGAAGAGAATTTCAGACAATTTTGGGTCGAGTAATATGGAGTTTGGCCCTGTTGTGCTCTAGCTTACATTCACAAAAACAAAACAAAACAAACAGGTTAGATTTAATAGTGACGTTATAGCATGGGCAAATTTGCCCCCCAAACATATGCATGTAGATTATATAGCACACAATTAATTCAACACAAACCAAAATAAACTGCAATTCAACACAAGCCAAGATAAACTTTACCTATTCATACACAGGCCATACATAATGAATCAAAATACACCTTTGTTGTGCTCGTTGATCTCCATCTGCTTGTTGGTGAACCACTTCTTTCGTCATCCAAGAGGCCACTTCTTTCTTCATCCAAGAAACTAGTGTCCCGCAACATGATCCTCGACTCTCCCTGGTAAAAGAAAAGCCACGATCCTTGACTCTGTGACCACGCAAGCCTTGCTTTCTTCTCAATCTCAGTTGACTCCAATGTCTTCGCCTTTTCAAGCTTTCACTTTTTTTTTCATTTCACTTCTCCATATCCGTTCTCTGACTTTCAATGTTCACCTCCCTCGCACCCTCTCTCAATTGAACTCCATCCTCTCTTTTTGCACATCCAAGAAGAACATGTACCTCTCATCCTTCTGCTCCTCCCTTTCTTTTGCATTTTCATCAATGTCGCCCCCTTGTTGGAAAAGATGTACATCCATGTGGTAGGCAATTTGCTTGTCGCACCGTCACGCACTAGCCTTTCCTTCTCCCACTTCTTCCCCATCACATGTCTAATCCTTTTTGGCACAATCCCTTGTCCGTCCACCCCTTCACTTGGCTTATCACCGTCATACAATCTAATAGGTTGATGAGAGCTTGAGCCATAATTGTTCTTCGTATTCTTGGTGTGGTTCTTGAGATCTTCATAAAGGGGTGCGTCAATTCGGTCGCCCATTCAACGCTATCCACAAATGGGACAGAGTGAATGGATTTTTCTCAACTTGATGGTACAAAGTAGCGGCGAACCTCATCTAGCAAGAAAAAAAATCACACGTCAACATAATGGCACAAACGAATTGAGCAATAAAAATAACGACTGTGTGAAGCAACCAAAACTTACATGGCTTTTGAGTCCAACTCCACTTTGTTGCTTATTCACCACATGTGCATAGAAACCGCAAAACTTGTTCATGGACTCTTGGATTGTGGCCCATCTATGTTGGAGAGAGCCTCGTTGCGGGTGTTACGACTCCACATAGTGATTGTGTTCATGGTACCAAGCATGGATTTTTTTGCCAATACTATGAGCCCTTTTGCTCAGTTCTACATATAAGATCCATGGTTGTGGCCAACCAAGCTCTACACAACAAGACATCTTCATGGTTGAGAATGATGGTCCTCTTGTCTACGGAGTCTTCTTTGTTTGAGTGCCCGATGATTGCCCAACATTACAGAAGGGGAATCGGTATCACTCATTTCATAAGTTGGAGGTTCCTGACTGCCATTTATGAAACCATCTTGAATAAGTCCTAAAGATGCATCACAATGAAGATACCATCCTAAAATTGATCCAAAAAGCATATGGGGCAAGGAAAACCCCGTAAATTCTGACCCAAACCTTCCTCGGACAGTTGGTGGGCATGCCCCCTGCCGAAGATGCCCGACGTTTTCCGCGATGTTGGAGTTGCGGTGACTCGTATGTCGTCTCCAGGGAGGCGTCCTCTTCTACTTGCATGAAGTCATTCGGGATGCCCCCAATTACCGAGGCGGAACAATGTCAGGCGTGGCCGTGTCAGTGGGCGCGTGGGTGCCGAAGTAGACACGACGAGCTCCATTTGGACGACATTCTTCCCTGCCTTCTCAACAGCTTCCATCTCAGCCTTCTCATAGGCACGCTGACGGGCAAGCCGCTTTCTTTAGGTGACAGTCTTCGCCTTGTTCATGACAGTGGGGACTCCGATAGACTCCGGTGGGCGGATGGCAGAATGAGTGTGACGAGGAGGAGGAGGAGGTAGGCGACATAGACACAGAGCAAGGGCGGAAGGAGGGCACCAACATAGGTGCGGGATGCAAGAGAGATGACGGTTAGTTTGGTCAATTTGGAGGGATTTGATGTGGATCCATCCTGTCGGATCCAACATGGCGGACGTGTCTAGGAGACTCCAAATCAGCACCACATATGGCTTGGGTTTGAGGGGTGCCGGACAACTCAGACATATGGCCTGAGTTTGGAGTCTTGGGTGGCATTTTTTTGGGTCCAAGTGGTGTCTAGGTTGTCCCTGGACATACAGGGACCGAGTAGAGGATCCGGTTAGAGATGCTCTTAAAGCATTTATAGCAGAGTCGCCATATCACCGGTCACCATATGGAATATGGAGATCATGATCGCTATGCACAAACACCAAGTCGCCATATCTTCTCTTTTCTGATCTATTTTTTGTTGTATCAACTCAAAAATGCACACACTCAATTTTGGGGATTAAACACTAACTTGGAATAACATTGCATTACAAAGTGGTTACACCGGGGTAGAAAAGTAGATTAGCAACATTTTTTTACTAAACTGATGACTATTTAATGTCCTGGGAGAAGCACTAGTTGCTCTTCACCATGATGTCGGTGAATGCGTGTACGAGGCACATGCATATTTGATGAGTCGACTCATCATGTACATGCGGCGGTGTTAAGGTCCAATGACCTCATCTTCGTCCCATTCATGCCTATTGTCGTCAAGGTTGGGGATGACTTTTTTGAGAGGGCAAAGTCCTAATAGGGCGCGATTTGACTCGATGAATGTCACAATCTCATGTCGAATGTGCACCATCTAAGGAACTCCCTCTCCGCAGTCAAATCCGCCTGTCTCCCCTTGAATGGAGTCAGATTGCGTATTGCTCTCTGCATGCACCGCCTTCCCGGCATTGATATGCTTGAAGATGTCGCCGCGGTGGATCGCCGGGGTGTGAGCGACGTAGCGCTCACCCCATAGCTCCCTAACATAATGGCGACGAGAGCACGTGTTGCCTGATATGAGCTATGTCGATGAGGCATCACCTGCTCATAGGGGTCCCCACACACCCATTGGATACCCAAAATAGTGAAGTGTATTGTGCCAAATTCAGGGCTCCGCGGACCCAAGGTAGATTCAAACTCTGGGGTACGTGCGAAGAACTCAACCTCCCTAGCCTGCCAACTTGTCGATCTCATGACCTAACTCGACAAACTGATGAAGAAAGGGACAAGACAGTTTGCCCAGGTTCGGGCCACCTTGCGTGTAGTACCCTACTCCTGCTTTGTGGTGGATTAGCCTCGAGGTGGGCTGAGGATGAACTAGTACAGAGGAAAAACAACCTCAGGAGGTGTGTTCTTGTGCTTGTGAGGGTGTGGATGGTTTGGATGATCTGTCCCCCTCTATGGTGGTGGCTAGACTATCTTTATAGTGGCCTTGGTCCTCTTCCTAAAATGAAGGCGGGAAGGGATCCTACAACGGCCAAATTCGAAGGAAGACAACTAGTACATCTTATCCTGACGAAAGGTGGTCTGCGCCTACAAAGCTTCTGGTTATGACGTCGTGGTGGGCTCGGTGATGACCTTCGTCCTGGCGGTCTTGGTCTTGTAGCATGGAAATGGAAACCTTTAGTTGATTCCTCGGGACTCCGCGTCTGCGCTTGCCTCTTTAGCACCAAAGAGGAAATCTGTTGTACTGCGCTCGCTGGCGCCTGCCTGGCCTTGGTCGTCATGGCTTGCGTCATCTGAACCTCACGAGGTGAGGGCTCGCATGGAAATCTCCGCTCCTCAGGAGCCAGCGTAATGAGGCCACTCCTTCTGGAGGTCTTGGCGTCATCCGGCTCGCGAGGCTTGGCCCCTCGTGAGGGTCTTATGCTGTCGGTGCTGAAGATGGGCCGTACCAGGTCGCCGATCGAGCCATGCCATGGGCCGCAGGCAGGCAAGTCTGGGTACTCTGGTTCCCAGAACGCCGACATATTGGGATTCCAATTCGGGCAACCGTCGAGGGCAGGATCCTCGCGTGACCTCTAGTGCATAATGGTGATCCCGCTCATTAGTATTCTCTTCATCTTCTATTTGTTTTCTTGTCTTTATGTAATTGGCAATATAAGGATTTTCAATGCAATTCACCGCACAATACATATAAATTTCCTCTAGATCAAAATCAAGAACTGTCTCAAGGGCAAATTCTGGAATATCCTTAGTTATACGTTTCATTTCTTCATGACCCAGAAGCAAACTAAGTTCATTATGATGCGCAAGGGAAATCAAGTCATCACAATTTTTGGACACGATTCGATCATGAAACAATTTGCATTGGATATTTAAATGACCACGCTCATTGCAAAATTCACAAGGATGGGTAAGAAAATTTAAATTTTCAGCACAAACATCTAGCCTTTCTTGCAACCATTTAGTTTCTAAATACTTATGCCTCTTGCAAAATCTATCTTCCCTATTTAGTGTGTACTTGCAAACTCTATGCACTCCACAAAAATTGACATGCTTATAAGAGGCATTTTCATCATGACTAGTGCAATCATCATTAGTACTATGGATATTCAAAGAGTTCGTACTTTGAGCCCGCGCTTGGTCGGTCGACAGTGATCAATCAGGAGGGGTTGGACAAGGTCAGGCCGACCCTTGCCGCTGCTTCCAATGAGTGGAAGGCGGCGACGGTCTGGCCAGCTTCACGGGCTTAGATCGATATGACGGCCACCGAGATCCCCATCCACCTTCACGCTCTCCTGTCTGGCCTGGTCCCCCCTTTC